CAGGGTCATATGGAAGGTCAATTTTTAGAGCTTTTAGGAATCGCCACACTGATTTCCACAGAGGTTGCACTAGTTTACACTCCCACCAACAGTGTAGAAGCGTTCCCTTTTCACCACACCCTCTCCAGCAGCTGTTATTTTTTGAGTTGTTGATAATTGCCATTCTGACTGGAGTTAGGTGGTATCTCAGTGTGGTTTTGATTTGCATCTCCCTGATGATTAGTGAGGTTGAGCATTTCTTCATGTGTTTGTTGGCTGCTCGAATGTCTTCTTTTGTGAAGTGTCTGTTCATGTCTTTTGCCCATTTTATAATGGGGTTGTCTGTTTTCTTCTTTTCAGTACGTTTCAGTTCCTTGTAGATCCAGGATGTTAAGCCTTTGTCAGACCTAGAGTTGGCAAATACTTTTTCCCAGTCTGTAGGCTATCTCCCTGCTCTCTTGATGGTTTCTTTGGCTTTGCAGAAGCTTGTCAGTTTAATAAGGTCCCATTTGTCTATCTTTACGTATGTTTATCGCAGCGTTGTTCACAATAGCAAGAACCTGGAAACAACCATGCTGCCCATCAAAAGAGGACTGGATTAAAAAAATGTGGTACATATACACAATGGAATACTACGCAGCCATAAAAAAGAACAAAATCATGAATTTCGCAGCAACCTGGATGGAACTAGAGTCTATAATACTGAGTGACCTCTCACAGAAACAAAGATCCAAATATCACATGTTCTCACTCATATAATGGACCTTGAACATCCAATGCAATACTATAAGAAAATGACTGATGGTACTGGGAAACTATGGGGGGACGGGGATGGGATTAACAGTAGCAAATATCTGTCGGGGGATGGGAAAACACCCCTTATCAACAGGGTGCCTGAATGAAACGTAATTGTACACCTAACCCTTAACTGTACCCCACAAAACCATAATAAAAAATACTGATTAATGAAAAAAAAAAAAAAGTGATATAAGCCAGTCTACATTCCAGAAAAAATAATTCTGTTAGCAATGTGGCTGGGAGAGGGCAGAGGCTAAAAGTCAGGAATCAACTGCAAGATTTTAGATGAGAGGTAATAAAAGAAGTAGAATCAACAACCACTGGAAATATAAAGGAAAGAATGAATACAAAGACACCGCACTCTATGTCAATACAGTGGTCCCCCCCTTATCCAAGGCGGATCCGTTCCAAGACCTCCAGTGCGTATCTGAAACCATGCATAGTACCGAACCCTCTATATAGACTTGGCTATCTCTATATGCGGGTTCCACATCCACAGATTCAACCAACCATAGAATGAAAATATTTGGGGGGAAAATGTCATCTGTACTGAACATTGTACAGATCTTTCTTGTCAATATTCCCTACCATACAGTACAACTATTTATATAGCTTTTACATTGTATTCAGTATCATAAGTAATTCAGAGATGATTTAAAGTATATGGGAGGATGTGTATAGGCTATACGCAAATACACCATTTTGTACCAGGGTCTTGAGCATCCATGGATTTTGGTACCTGCATGGGCAGGTGAAGGTTCTGGAAGCAATCCCCCACAAATACTAAGGGATGATTATACTATGTATTTCTCTATACATATATACCTATAATAAAGTTTAATTTATAAATTAAGCACAGGAAGAGATTAATAATAAAATAGAACAATTTTAACAATATACTCCAGTAAAAGTTCTGTGAATGTGGTCTCTCAAAATATCTTATTGGAATATACTGCAGGTAACTGAAACCTCAATAAAGGGGGGACTATTAATTCTAGATTTGAAGAATGGAAGTATTGATTAGATGATTCCTCAGTTGGCAAGAGCATGCAAATGCCTTTAAATTCTGTCCAGGGTATGTTGAGCTTCAGGTGCCAAGAGAGCATCTTTGTGGAAATGTTCTGTAGGAGGTCAGGAGCTATGAGTCTGCAGCTGGTAAGGCAGGTCAGGGACGGGAGGTCCAAGAATCCACAGTGGTGGATGAGACGCTGGGGGCATATGGAGAGTAGCACACTGGCCACCCCCCCACACACACACACACTGATCTTATTTTAGGAATGAGAATTCCTGGCCAAATAGCTCATTTGTGACTTGTGTTTTACTCTAGGTATCAAATTACAGTGGTGGATACGGTCACTGACTAAGTTTAAGGATCAGCCAAGTATCAGTTTATCAGAATGATATAATCTCTATGAGGCAGAGGGAAGTGAAGCTGAAAAGGTAGGCTGAGTTAATAACTAGAAAAGCCTTGAATGCCAAGATAAAGAGGTTGCACTGAATATAGAAGCTATTTCCTTTAACTCACTGTAATCACCTTATGTCTCCATTAATAACATTCTATGAGCACACATCTAGCTTAAGTGTTTCCTGTGACCCCAAATCCAATTAAAACCATTATTAGATTAAGATAATGGTTACGTATCAGAAATAGCTGAGCAAAAGGCTGAGAAGAGACTAGAAGACACAGGAAATTATTTTAGTTGTAACACGTAAATGGAAATGTCAATTTTATGGAGTGGAAGATGATCAACTAAAATATTTATGCTATTTATGAATTTTAATATAGTATTTTATTAAGATTCCATAGGCTGATTTTCTAAAGTGAAGAGCTAAAAGAAAGGGAGAAAGAATGATTATGGCGTGTCTCCCATTATTTAAGTGTATCTTTTTTTTTTTTCCTTGAGTTGGAGTCTCACTCTGTCACCCAGACTGGAGCGCGGTGGCACGCTTCTGGCCACCGCAGCCTCGACCTGCTGGGCTCTGGCGATCCTTCTGCCTCAGCCTTCCGAGTAGCCGGAATTACAGGCGACATTACCACGCCTGGCTAATTTTTTGATTTACTGTAGAGACGAGGTCTCACCAAGTTGTCCAGGCAGGTCTCGAACCCGCGGGCTCAGGTAATCTACTCAGCTCGGCCTCCCAAAGCACTGGGATTACAGGCTGAGCCACCAAGCCCAGCCACTAAGTATATCTTTCTATAAGAAAATTCTTAATCAGTTTTCATGTTTCTAATTAGTACTTTTTTGTCTTTGTTAAAATGGTACATTATAACCATATAAAATGGTAGTTATGACCAAATAGTAATAATAACCATATAAAAACAAAGTTTTGCTGTACTTAAAAAACAAAAAAAAACTACTTAGTATTTTATTAATTTCAGAATTTTACTTAATAGTTTTGGTCTAGGCAAGAAGTTCAGGAAGGAAAGTTTCCGATGCCGGGCACAGTGGTTCATGCCTGTAATCCCAGCACTTTGGGAGGTGGAGACAAGAGGATTGCCCGAGTCCAGGGGTTCGAGACCCGCCTGGACAACTTGAAGAGATCTCATCTCTACAATAAATCAAAAAAGTAGCCAGGTGTGATGGTGCGCACCTGTGGTTCCAGCTACTTGGAGGGCTGAGGTGGATGGATCGCCTGAGTTCTGCAAGTTGAGGCTGAGGTGGCCGTGAGCGTACCACTGTACTCCAGCTGGGGTGACAGTGAGACTCCGACTCTAAATAAGAAAGGTTCAGAAAGTAAGCTCAAATTGTGGAATCTTAAAAATCTTGTCTTCCGCCAGGCTCGGTGGCTCAGCCTGT